AATTTATATTAATTTCCCTTCTTGCTCTTGGCTTTTTTATAGTTCAGTGTTTGTGGATTGCATTTTATATTTTTGTAACATGCCTGTAGACAATGTTGTTCTGCAGAACAGCCAAAAAAAATAAACAAAAAACCACAGACAAAGCTTTTATTGAATCCAGGATGAAAAGCACGACATGTAGCTGTTTGCTCGTCTTTGAAAGATTTAGTTCTTCCGTGCCCAATACAGGTGTGACAGTGCACTGATTGCATATTTTTGTACTTGAACATATTGAGTTGTCTTTGGCTAGAATTAACCCATAATATTTAACATTTACTTTCCAGTATCCAAATTATGAGGCAGATGTTACCTTTCTTGAGAATACCTGCAGCTTCCAGAGTTTCAACTGTATTATCCTCATGAAAATCATATGCTTTACACCAGTGGTCCCCAACCTTTGCAGCTTGGTGACAGGGTGGATCTGATTTAAATCGAGTTGATTTAAATCACAATTTAAATCATGATTTAAATCACTAGTAAAAAGGCTTGATTTAAATCAACTCGATTTAAATCATAATTTTTAAAGAGCAACTGTCATCTCTGCTACTCCTTTGACCCGCTGTTGACTTACCGATAGTCCCAGTGTTGTAGAATATACAGCCTCATGCTACATAACTAAGCTCCATTTCATGCTGAATAAACGAAATTATTTATGTATTTTAAATAGAAAACTATCTTACGATAGATTTTTACCCCAAAAGTTTTTTATTAAAATAAATTCGATAAAAATCAAAAAAATCCGATTTAAATCAAAAAAATCTGATTTAAATCAAAAAAATCCGATTTAAATCAAAAAAATCTGTTTTTTTTATTTTTTTAAAAAAAATCATTGATTTTTATCCACCCTGATTTACATCATTTGCATAATATCATTACACAAAAGTTGCAAATTGTTACGAATAATGTAATTTATAATATAGTCGGACATTTGCAATTTAATGGACTAACAGGAGCAAGAGATAGTTGGTCTATTAAATTAACGTTTTGCTTCTATTCTGTTACAGTTTAAAGAAGAAATAAACCTGTTAAAATCCTTTGGGTTTTCCTTTATCTTTTTTTAAGTAGGGTGTTTATCTTTAACATTCCAAGTAAGGAACAAAAGAACAGCTGGGCTCTCTCTTCTTCTAGAACCAAACAAATTAGGGTGATGAGTTTATATAAGTGCAGATTTATATCTGAGGATTTAAAAAAAAAACATTCCCTTTCAAATGGAAGTAAAATAAATAAGGTTGGCTTTTGTTTTCCAAAAGGGGAATAATGTTTGGAATTACAAGGGTTCTTAAAAGTTGGATGGAGAGCTGTGCTACTTGCTGGAGTGATAAAGGGCACGAGAAGGGTGGGTGAGTGGGTTTTTCTTTGTGCTCCCATCTTTCATTGGACAACCCACAATCCTTTCTCCAGCTGTTTGGATCTCCCAGGAAGCCTGATCTGAAAAAGGAGAAAAGGTGCATTACAGGTAATGCATAACAGAAAACATACAAGCCCAACCCTGCTATAGCAAGCAGTCATATCTATCTATCTATCTATCTACCTACCTACCTACCTACCTACCTACCTACCTACCTACCTACCTTAACTACCTATCAGTATCTGTCTATCCATCCAGCCATCCATCCTATCTACCTAGTCTATCTATCTTATCTACCTATCTTACCTACCTACCTACCAGTATCTATCTATCTATCATCTATCTATCTATCTATCTATCTATCTATCTATCTATCTTCCTACCTACCTACCTACCTAACTACCTATCAGTATCTGTCTATCCATCCCATCCATCCATCCTATCTACCAGTCTATCTATCTTATCTACCATCTTACCTACCTACCTACCAGTATCTATCTATCTATCTATCTATCTATCTATCTATCTATCTATCTACCTACCTACCTATCTATCTATCTATCTATCTATCTATCTATCTATCCTACCTACATCTATCTATCATCTATCCTACTTACATCTATCTATCTATCTACCTACCTACTATCTACTACCTACTACCTACTATCTATCTATCTATCTATCTATCTATCTATCTATCTATCTATCTATCTATCTATCTATCTATCTATCCTACTTACATCTATCTATCTACCTACCTACCTACCTACCTACATCTATCTATCTATCTATCTATCTATCTATCTATCTATCTATCTATCTTACCTACCAGTGTCTGTCTGTCCGTCCGTCCGTCCGTCCATCCATCCTAACTACCGGTGTCTCTGTCTGTCTGTTTGTCTGTCTGTCTGTCTGTCTTTATCTCTCTCTCTCTCTCTCTCTTAGAGAATTTATAAGCCACTTAGTGTTGATAAGTGGCTTACAGACAATTAAAAACACAATGTTGAAAAAATAAAAATAATAAAAAACAATAATGATAAAATAAAACAATACCCCCCCCCCTCCGTGATGACAAACACTAAAATCAGCCATTTAATGGGCTCCATCCCACTCTGGGTTCTCCAGGCCCATTGCCAAAACCAGGTCCTCAGGATCTTATGAAAGAGTGTCAGAATGGGGGCCAGTCTAATTTCTGGAGGGATAGAAGGAGGGAGCACACTAAGGCTCTAGAAGGAGGGAGCCACTATGGAGAAGGCCATTCTTCTGTGTCCCGCCAGATATACCTCCTTAGGGACGGGACCAGCAATACTAGCTCTGTCTTAATAACAAGTGTATTCAAAAACGACACCAATATTCTAAAGCAAGGGTCTCCAACCTTGGCAACTTTAAGACTTGTGGACGTCAACTGCCAGCAAAGCTGGTTGAGGAATTCTGGGAGTTGAAGTCCACATGACTTAAAGTTGCCAAGGTTGGAGACCCCTGTTCTAAAACATCCTGAGAAGAACTTCCAAAACAAGTGTCTTTGCTAGGGAAGAAAACTTGTGGGAAGATGGGAAGGTAGATTGTGCCCACTACCCAAAATAAATTGCTCAAAGGCAACCAATTTATGGTCCCTTTAGAGCATTGATGCTGCTAAAGATGTGATTAGCCCATTTCTTGATAAATTGCCAAGCAGTAGAAAGCCTTGACAGCATAATATCCAGATGTCACCAATAGACATTAACCAACCTTCTTTCTTGGTTTTTAGTGTGCAGAAGGCGCAAACAAGACAGGCAACAAATCCCATCTTCATATAATGCGGCTTACTAATTGCATTGACAGTGTCCCTGCAGAACATTGTCATCTGGAAGAAATGCAATTGTTTAAATTTGTTCCTTCTCCCCTGTCCAGTTTATCTAATGACTGTGAGCAGATTTGTTTTCTCTGGAACATGCAGTAGAGGGGCGAACCAATCAGTTTGATTCAAACCTTGCTAAAAATCCAGCTGGAAAAATCTATTTGCCATGCCAACTTTCATGGAAACAAGTGTTTGGTCAGTTTCCTTGACAGCCCTTAACTTGAAAGACTCAAGTGATGATTTTAACTTCTGCGGGTGATTTCAGGAAGAAAACTGGCAGCAAAATTAGCATTCCATAGGATTTGCTTATTTATTTAGTGTATAGCAAATACATCAGTGGTGGTTTGCTCCTGGTTTGCACCGGTTCGGGAGAACTGGTAGTGGTGGTGGAAGGCTCCGTCCACCCACCTGGAAGTCATCAAATACACTTTGTGCGAGCGAACCACTAGCAAAGATAAAACCCACCACTGAAATACATGGACTTATAGTGGTTCAAATGTTAATGTCCAGTCCACCCAGCCATTCAAGGACAGAATGGTCTATGTTGAAAAAATCCGACATTAGGCCGGTGTAAACTCTTGATGGACATTCGTACACAATGTGGTGGATATTTTCTCGAGCATCACAGTCACACTGAGTAGAGACAAGACCCCACTTAAACAATGAGTCCTGGCAGACAACCATGTCGGGTATGAATCCTGTTCAAAGTTGACCAATGCTGGCGAGAAGATCAAAATGTGACACCTTTTGTGTAGGGCAAGAGTCGGCAATCTTAAACACTTGAAAGAGCCATTTGGACCTGTTTCCCATAGAAAAGAAAACACCGGGAGCCACAAAACCCTTCCCATACTTGACTATTTCCTGAGCGGCCACAAAACTAGCATATGTCGTTGAATTAAACGTTCTGTTTTCTTCTGAAACTTTTCTTGGATTTATCCATGGTTGGCCAAAAAGCTCAATAAATTGCGTGCTGGTAGGTGTTGCACATTGGCGGTTGTGACACATATTTTGAGTGACGGGGAGCCGCAGCAGAGGAATGAAAGAGCCACATGTGGTGCCAGAGCTGACTCCTGGTGTAGGGTCATCTACATAACTGCCTGTATCTGGCCGTTCGGCAGCCCATTTGGCTTTCCACTGTGTTTTGATTTCGTAGGAGAATGTTCATCTTCCTTTTTAAAACAGCACAGTTGTTTGGCCCTTGTGGGATTCTTGAAATATTTTTAGCCAGTGGATGCAGTTTAATAAAATAGGTCAACCAATTAATGTAGCTTCTTTTTTCTTGAAAGCACACTTAAGGGGTAGATTGCTGAAAGGCATTTATTTGTGATTCTGAGCTATTTTGCTTCAAAATAGCTGACTTGATTTACAGTATATGGAATGCCCGCTGAATAATTCAGAGATACTCGCTGTCTTCATGTGGATCTGTAACAGAGAAGGGGGTCAACCTATTCTCCAAAGCACCTGAAACCAGGACAAGAAGTAATGGATGGAAACTAATCAAGGAGAGAAGCAACCTAGAATTAAGGAGAAATTTCCTGACAGGGAGAACGATTAATCAGTGGAACGACTTGCCTCCAGAAGTTGTGGGTGCTCCAACACAAGCTTTTTAGGAAGAGAGTGGACAACCATTTGTCTGAAATGTTACAGGATTTTCTTCTTTGAGCAGGGTGTTGGACAAGAAGACTCCAAGGTCCTTCCAATGCTATTATTCTGTTATTCTGTAAAATTCAACCATTTGTTCTAGTTGATGTATTGTTTGATGTCTTTGTGTTTCAGAGTGATCGCCTTTTGATCAAAGGAGGCAAAATAGTAAACGATGACCAGTCCTTCTACGCAGACATTTATATGGAAGATGGGTTGATAAAGTAAGTAGCTGATGATTTTGCTTCTGTTATGGAATTAAATAAAAAAAATGTCTTATCGTAGAAACCTGCTGGGCTCCACGGAAGCGTTGAGATAAAACTTAACTGATGCTTAGGGAAAGAAAAAGTGGAAAAAGCGATTTTGGGTTGAGTTCTTGAGATCATTAAATTGAGTGCAGTTTGCCACAAAGAAAACATGCCTTGAGTTGTAGTCCAGATATATAAGTATAGATTTAAGGTTGACCACAGAGATTGAGAACTTGGCAAGAATGGGAAGACGTTGGTGCTTCCCATTCTTGCCAACACACAGTTTAGATCCTGGCACTTCTGCCTATTGGGTGGAAATCATCTCTTGTGAAGACATGAATTATAAAGAGCAATTGCAGCATTTCTTGCCTGGCTTCTGGGTTGTTACTGAACTGGTGCTGTAATTGGCTATAATTTAGGAGTGTAAAAAGTGCACTCCAGGGTCTGCATTGAAAGGCAGTTCAAGGCATTTGCTGCAACTCTCATGAGAACATAACAGACTTTTCTGGCAGTTTCAAAAGGCAACTGGACTTTCCTGGTTTTTTCCCTTCGAAAATGTACATTCTCAGTGTGCTGAGCAGAGAACCCAAAGAATGGGTTAAGTCCTTTTAAACTTTGCAGCCCCATCTCTCTTGGCTGTGTCCCAGTTTTGACTCAGTCTGAGCCTAAGAGAGACGCATTTTAGGAAGAGTCCTCAGCAAAAAGGCAGAGTTAAATTCTTTGGCTTCTCAGCAATCAGGAGAGCAGCGCAATTTGTGGGTGAGGATTACAGCTGCTTAAGTAATCAGCTGTTTTTCGGCAAACAGAGCAATTTTTGAGCAAGCAATTCTGCCGCTGCGGCAATCAGCTGCTTACCGGATAACGAGCCACCCCAACAATTCAGCTGGCTTCCTGTTTGATCGGTACAGCCGCTGCAACGACTCAGCTGTACGTTTTTTTAAAAAAATCTTGAACATGTGCTTCTCTCTGTGCTTATAATACTGATACCAGACTGCCTCTTATCTCAGACAAATAGGGGAGAACCTCATTGTGCCAGGAGGGGTAAAAACCATTGAGGCTCATGGACGAATGGTGATCCCTGGAGGAATTGATGTCCACTGCCGTTTCCAAATGCCTGACCAAGGAATGACCTCCGCTGATGACTTCTTCCAAGGAACAAGAGCAGCCCTGGCTGGAGGCACCACTATGATCAGTAAGATCTAATTTATCTAATTTAAATGTAATAGCCAGTTTGGTCTCGTGATTAAGGTACCAGGCTAAAAACTGGGAGACCATGAGTTTTAGTCCCATGAAAGCTGACTGGGTGATATTGGGCCAATCACCAGGAGACTGAGAATTCTAGTCCCGCCTTAGGCAGGAAAGCCAGCTGGTCGATTTAGGACTGTTACTCACTCTCACATTCCAACCCATCTTACAGGGAGGTTGTGGGAAAGAGGAGGGAGGTATGTTAAATATGTTTGCTGCCTTGAGTTATTTGTAAAATAATAAAGGCTGGAATTGAGCAAATCCTTGAATTGGAATTAAGATTATGTCTGAAATGGCACAACAGGTGGACCCAGATTGTTGGGGGCAGTACGCTAACTCTGTAAACCGCTTAGAGAGGGCTGTAAAGCACTGTGAAGTGGTATATATGTCTTAAATGCTATAGCTGTTTATATCTAAAAGGTGAAAAAGCAGAATTGCATCCATTTTCAGACCATATTAAGATCTGTTTTGGGGCTAGAAATTAATACTTTTCTTTTGAAAGCTACTAATTTTTATGGGCTTATTATGAGACTCGGGTTTACCAGAAGTTGTACATAAGCATCAAAGCATCTATTATTTTATTTTTTTAAAAAGTAAAATGCTCTTGAAATCTGACAAGATCATCTCTACATTTTGAGTTTTGCACATAAACAATGATATTTGAAAGAAGATTGTGCCCAAGTTCTTCTGAGATTTCATAGAGCAGGCTGCTAGGCAAAGCTAATACAGCATCATCAGGATTTTGGAAAGAGAGAATAGTCATTTGATTCTCCTTTTTCCCTGACATTAAATTTTTTGGTCTCTTGCACTCTGCTAGCAAGATACAATTAAGCAAATCGGGCCATCTCTATATTTTTGTTTCTATAGTTACTCCTGCGCTCCCTGCATTTCTTTTCCAGCGAATGTAATTTTATCTACTGCTTCAATATTGAGATTCTACTGAAAGCTGTTCCCTCAATGAAAACATTAATGCACCCGGGATTGTAATTGCAATTTGGCAACTAGCCCTAGAGGAATTAGATGCTTATGTGTTCGTATTATGTCCAGATTTGTAAAATATATATTTATATCCATTACAGCTGACTGGGTTGCTAGGATGTATTACGTCTAGATTGCTGGCTACTGGTGTGTGGGCTGGAATGTCTTTTGTTGGTGGGAGGATGGAATAAACAAAGATTAGAGTTGTCCAGTCAAGCACTTAAGACTCTGCATTTTATTTGAAGGGATCTGAAATGGTTGCAGAGTTTTATAGGCCATGCTGAGTTCTAAAGATCTTAGCAAATTGGTTGCTAGCAAGTCCACTGCTGGATTGGGAGGAGCCCCAGTATAGAGTGGAGAAGATGTCAAAATGTGAATCTTGGCCTGGGAGAAATTGGGCGTCATTGTGGTTTGCATTGATTCAAAAAATGCAACATGGGGTTTGAGTTTCAAAGCACATGACTTTGAAAAATATTCTGCTGCTCATCATGGAGAGATTGGATTTAAACAACAACAACAAAAAATTGGAGCTGGAAACATCTACACTTGTCTCAGGGGAGATGTTGATGAGTCCTTTACAATCCATGTTCCTTCCTCCTACACTTTTCTGCTGGATATATATTTTTTTAAATACTGGTCCAAGAAAAGAGAACGGAGGAAAATGTGAGTTGTCGCTCCATGTTAAAGTAGATCAAGGGTCTCCAACCTTGGCAACTTTAACACTTGTGGACTTCAACTCCCAGAATTTCCCAGCCATCATGACTTGCTGAGGAATTCTGGAATTTGAAGTCCACAAGTCTTAAAGTTGCCAAGTTTGGAGCCCCTTGAAGTAGATGGATAATTATTGATGTACTGAAGCTGAATTCAAGCTTTTGCCTTTATCTTGGCTTATTGCAGTTACTTACACCAGTTGTACAGATCCATGATTGCCATCAAATATATTTAGTTGTAAACCATACACAAATCATAGCAAATGGTGATCTATCAAATGGATATGCAAAACTGTCCAGAGGTATCCAGGAGAGGGACTTGGGAGTCTAGTTTGAGCTTCTAAGTGGACACATTGCATTGTGAGGTCCTTGGTGCTCTCTGAGTTTCGTTGTTTCCTTGCAGATGTTTCATTACCAACTAGGTAACATCATCAATGCTGACTCTGAAGACTCCACAGTCCAGCCCTGAACTACTAATATTTATTCATTCATTTATTTATTAATTCAATTTGTATGCCGCCCCTCTCCGAAGACTCAGGGCGGCTCACAATGCATTTAAAATCATTATAAAAAACATTTAAGAACTAAAAACATTAAAACATTAAAACTCATTCACACCATTCATGGCCAGATCTCACAAGATCGCAACAGCGAGATCAACGGCCCCAGGCCTGCCGGAAAAGCCAGGTCTTCACCGCTTTTCAGAAGGCCAATAGGGTGGGGATGGTCCGGACCTCAGGAGGTAACTGGTTCCAGAGAGCTGGGGCAGCCACAGAGAAGGCCCTCCCTCGCGGGGCCACCAGCCAGCATTGTTTAGCTGACGGGACCCGGAGGAGACCAAATCTGTGGGATCTTACTGGTCGTTGGGAGTTATGCGGTAGAAGGCGGTCTCGAAGATACCCTGGCCCTGAGCCATGTAGGGCTTCACTTCTGCTTGTAACACATTGTACTAAAATGGCCTGTGTGTCTGTTATCAGAGGCTGAAAACAGGTTCCATAGCAGCAGAGGCAACATATGAGCAATTTCACACATTGCAATGCCAATCATTTGTGGACCGGACCATATTTGAATGATTTTGTGCAGCAACCACACGATAGACTACGGTTTAAATAGCTGGATTTTTCCAGCTTGCTACTTCTTACAGTGGAGGCCTTGTTGCAAATTTATGTCACCACTATGAAATATTGGTTCGGTAGGTGAGATGGAAAATTAAGTGTGGGGGAGGGGGGGTGAGACTTAAGCAAGGTCTATATAGCACAGTAAACCAACATGCAATTCACATTGTTACTAAAGTGACAAGGATGTGTCAAGTTTCTATGAGTTGATGTTGATGAGAAGAGACTTTACTATTTTTATTTTGAATTGGACGAAGTTACTTGTCTCGTGCAACAAACTGTGGTTGAACAGTAGGGCCTACCATGGTTTGCAGACAGCCCTGGAATTGGCAGGGTAGAGCAAAGTTGAATGCTTGTAAAGTTCTATATTTTTACAAATATACATTGGATGGTTTACCCCGGGGCAACTTTAAGCCTGGCGGACTTCCAACTCCCAGCTGGCTGGCTAGGGAATTCTGGGAGTTGAAGTCCGCCAGGCTTAAAGTTGCCAAGGTTGGAGACCCCTGGTTTACACCATATTCCCTCCTTCTGCACTTTTCTGCTGGATATTTTTGTTAATGCTGGTTCAAGGAAAGAGAATGGAGAAAGTTTGAGTTGGATTTCTTACTAAAGTAGATCAGGAGGTCAGAAGAGTATCTGTACAAAGGGTTAATTTCTCCTCCAATAGCATCTTTGAAGATGAGACCATCTTCAAATGGCCAGAAGAGTATCTGTATAAATTAAACGTAAAGGTTCCCCTCGCACATATGTGCTAGTCGTTCCCAACTCTAAGGGGCGGTGCTCATCTCCGTTTCAAAGACGAAGAGCCAGTGCTGTCCGAAGACGTCTCTGGTCATGTGGCCGGCATGACTCAATGCCAAAGGCGCACGGAACGCTGTTCCCTTCCCACCAAAGGTGGTCCCTATTTTTCTACTTGCATTTTTTACATGCTTTCGAACTGCTAGGTTGGCAGAAGCTGGGACAAATAACGGGAGCTCACCCCGTTATGCGGCACCAGGGATTCGAACCGCTGAACTGCCGACCTTTCGATCGGCCAGCTCAGCGTCTTAGCCACTAAGCCACCATGTCCCTTCCTAGTATCTGTATATAAAGGGTTAATTTCCTTAGAGGACTTTTTCTCTAGGCTAAATAAATTTGGTTAAAGGTTTTACATCTGTCATTTGGGTCCTTGAAGCTAAGTAGGTGCTAAGCCTCCACCATATTTCATCTTGACTGTCCTAACCGCCTCCTCCTTGTTGCTGATCCTTCTGTTGGAACTGTTGTTTCTCAGCCTTAACAGCTGGATTGGATTTTTGCACAAATATTATGCTTGTCTTCTCTCTTCCCCACTCCCCCCCCATTTCAAGTTCTAGGGCTGGAGAGTAGGTTAGCCCATGTGTCTTTCTCATGGTACAAAAATCTCACATGTGGCATTCTGAGTCATGCATAACTTGTACAAAAAGCCGGGGGAAAAAACAAGAAAATAAGGGACACATCAGAGTAGAAGAGAAGGTTGCATCATATTATCAAAAGAAATTACACATCCATAAAATCAAAATTTAGGTTTGCAGTGGGCTTTCAGAAGCAAGCTTGGCTAGGTGCTAAAATTTAAAAGGCCATACTGTACTCAGTTTTTAATTCCAAACTCTTAACAGGGCCAAAAAGGTTGCTCAGCCAAGAACTGCTGTATTGAAATGACATTGTTGTCCATCTCTTCCCCGTCTCTCCTCAAAATAGAAACATCTGGATGGTTGACCTCACTATTTTTCTTCTCTTTCCTGCCTTCCACTGAGCAAAATCTGAAAAAAGGAGAAGGTTTTGACATCTTTTTCAAGCAAATTAACTACTTTTAAGCAAGGTGGATTTGATTTAAATCGAGTTGATTTAAATCACGATTTAAATCATGATTTAAATCACTAGTAAAAAGGCTTGATGTAAATCAACTCGATTTAAATCATAATTTTTAAAGAGCAACTGTCATCTCTGCTACTCCTTTGACCCACTGTTGACTCACCGATAGTCCCAGTGTTGCAGAATATACAGCCTCATGCTACATAACTAAGCTCCATTTCATGCTGAATAAACTAAATTATTTATGTATCTTAAATAGAAAACTATCTTACGATAGATTTTTACCCCAAAAGTTTTTTATTAAAATAAATTCG